TCAAAATCCTTAAGCACTTACAGTAGATCCCTATTATTCCTTTTAGTGTTTTGAATATAGTGCCCTATATACTGTATACAGATGGCATGCTATGCACACTATAAACAGAACGTTTTAGATTTTCTGTCAGTAAAATTGAAATAACCTGTTACACACTGTTCTGCAACAAAATATGTTATTGTGCAACCACGAAACAGCAGTCTTTATTTCCTGTTCAGTCTGAATGTGTAAACTGCAGACAGGTAGTGCTGCCCAGAGATTACTGTAAGCCTTAAATATTTGTGAGAAGCAAGGTGATGGAATTCTTTTTCAGGGTCCTTTTCACCAACGCTTTCCATTTCTCACAATGGTAACTGGGTTGCCTAGATACGGCACAAACTTTTCCATCTCAGCAGCTTGATTAGGAGAAACAGCAGGCCGGACTCCATTGAAAAACAAACAGAGGCCCAGGTTGTGCTTCATCCTCTTGTGCATCACTAATTGTTCCAGAAAGAGATTTACATTAATAAAGCTCAAGAGATAATTTGAATGTTTTATCCACCCTGTCGTTTATTCTATTGGCTCCTGCCACTTAATCTTTTTAATTTTATTATTATTCTAATGGCAGTTTTCCCAACTTGAGGCTTAAATGATGTTTTACATGCTACTCAAGGAATTTTGGAATTGTAAAATCTGTTACTAAATTTAAACCAAAATTATTTCAAATTATGTTTTTGGGACTCTAGTTATTTGCTGTTTAGAGAGATTTTGATTTTTATTGATGCATTCATTTTTATTTTTTGTAACATCTAAAAATATGTTGAGAAGCACAACACATCATATAGTACAACTAGTACAATTTTCGATTATCCAGAGTTTCAAATAGAATGACCTTTGGTATGAGTACATTTGATAATGTACGACCAATTGAAATACAGATACTTAAGGTATCTATAAAAGAAACTCTGCAGAAGTGCATTTACAACTGAGAGGGTTACAAGAATTTTGGTCATCTGGAACATGTACCATATATAGTCAGTTGTGGAAGTCAGATCACTTGTACTGTATACTAGCAACCAATCAAGGTATTTACATTAATAGCCTCCTTTCATTTGTAAAATATTAATGTTCTTTTGCTCTCTTCTACTTTAACAATGCTTAGCCCTGGATTCGTTCTATAATAATAATAATAATAATAATAATAATAATAATAATAATAATTGCTTATACTTATATAGCACTTTTCTGGACACTCCACCCAAAGCACTTTACATGTAATGGGGATCCCCTCCACCAACACCAATGTGCAGCATCCACTGCGACGGCAGTCATAATGCACCAGAACGCTCACCACACATCAGCTATTAGTAGGGAGTAGGACAGAGTGATGAAGCCAATTCACAGATGGGGATTATTAGGAAGCCATGATTGGTAAGGCCCCATGGGAAATTTGGCCAGGACATCAGGGTTACACCCCTACTCTTTTCGAGAAACGCCTTGGGATTTTTATAAGGAAACTGTAGTCTCAATTTCTCAGACCGGTTACTAAATCTTGAGCACAGAGAGTCAGGGCCTCGGTTTTACATCTCATCTGAAGGACGGCGCCTTTTTACAGTACAGTGTCCCCATCACCAAACAGGGGCATTAGGACCCACATAGACCGCAGGGCGAGCTCCCCCTGCTGGCCCCATTAACACCTCTTCTAGCAGCAACCTTAGTTTTTTTCATCCAGGTACTCACCAGGCTCACACCTGCTTAGCTTCAGTGGGCTGCCAGTTGTGAGTTGCATGGAGATATGGCTGGTGGCTGAAGTGATGGACTGTCCTGGGAAAGACCCAGAAGGGAGGTTTTATTCTCTGGACAATCTCCCTTTTCAATAAAGAGGGTTATGGTGTTGGTTTGTACTGTTTTGCTGCAATACTTTTGTCATTCATGTGTGAACTTTTGCTGTATGCACCAGTCACCCTATTGCTTAATAGTTTCTCACTCACACATCTTTGCCCTACAGAAAAATCTCGGTTAGGGATGGCTGTTGAAATTAAACTGAAATAAGCCATTATTTAAATGTGATGTGGTGATTTATACATTCTTATTACAGCAATGTCAACGCTGATTGTTAAAAATGACAATACTCACAGGCTTATTTGTCTTCCACTGGTTTAATTACAGCCAACATGAGAACGCTAGGAAGATTACAAACAAGAGGGGTCCTTTCCGCCCATCTTGCTCCTCTGGTTTCTAGTATCTAAGTAATCTGTGGATTTCATCCAGATGTTTCTTGATAGATACAAGGTTATCAGCTTTGGTGTTAAAAAGTGCCTGCTGTTCTCAGTTTTGAATGCTTCTCCTCAATGTTTCCACTTGTGGCTTCTGGCTTGTGTTTCTGTGTTGATTTTGAACTTTATTAGGTTTTTTATTTACTTTTCTGAAGCTTTTGAATGCTTTAGTGGGGTTCCATTGCAGTTTTCTTTGTCCAAGATTTTCAGTTTTCTTTTGTATTTCCAAATAGTGTAGTGCAGTAATCTGCACAGTACATTTTCTGGTTATGGCTAGACTCTCCATTTGTACACTTGGTTTCATCAAAAAGTATTTGCCAGGGATTTACTGAACATGGAATGGAGTGCCACAATTCAGCCAAACAGAACCACATTTTACTCAGTACAATCTTCTGTGCAAGGCCCATTGCTCTGATTTCAGGTACAGTTTTTTCAAAGAATATAAGTGACCTTGGTCTGAAATTTCTTTCAACAGTCTCTCTGTGTCCCAGGTACATGTTTCTGCCCTGTGACACAGGATTGTTACATATTTAAAATGGGGTTGGGCAGTACATTAAGTAATTGCGCCCAGACAGGTTTGGAACAATTTGCCTTAGGGGTTTAGGGGATGTGTTATATAATTTTGTTTGAAAATATTTATTACACTGGCTTTTATAGAATCATCTTTATAATCTGGCTCAATATGTTTATTAATTTTTCAGTATAAATGTGAAGCTTATGGTGATGACTTGTCAGGAAAGGCCCAGTATTGTGTCCTTGTCCCCATTCTTAGTTATTTGATTGGAGCCCTTGTTGGGGCCTCTTTTTCTTTTCATTTGCTGTTAATCCTAGTCAATCATTATTTGATTACATCAGTTTTTAGGGAAATTAGGATTATGGAGCTGTTTTTTTATTTTGATGTGTTTAGGGATAGACGTGTTAGCATGGCAGATAGCACTATAGCCTCACAGGACTGGCGTCCCGAGTTCACTTCCAGAATGGGGCACTGCCTGTGTGGAGTCCTTATGTCCTCTCTATGTACTGTTTGTGTGGGCCAACCCACTAGCTCCATCCCTTTCCCACCCATCAAAGACATGTTAGTGAAAATTATATGAGCCAAAGGAAAAAAAAACATCAGAAATTTTTAACTTAAAATAAGATGAGCAAGTTCTGATCAGTGCTCAGCAAGTGAAATAAAGTTTTATTCAGTTGTACCGCTTAAGCGATTGCTTTTTCAATAGCGCCGATATTAAGAATTAATGGGATTCTCACATGTAAATCCCCATATCATGTGATTGGATATTGAATTCGTATCTTTGTTTTGTGTTATACCTCAGGATTTAATATTTCCCCACATGCATTTTACATCAATACATTATACTGTACCTGATTTTAAAGGTGTTATAATTTATTTAGTCTTAGGCCATCAAAAGTTAACTGTATGACAAAGAATAAGAAAGTAAATCCACAGGTATCCAATGTAGTAAATCTGTTATGCATTTGCCTTCAGTTCTTTAAAATGTGAAATTATTAGATTGTACTCTAGGTGGCTTGGTATAAAACAGCAGTACAAAAGCAGCAACCCCTCTATTTATTTTGATTTTTACTTCCTAAAGATGTTATTGAAGCAATTTTTATTGTTGAATGCTCTCCGGTTCTGCCTGATGTAGTAGTATTGTTAACTTAAACCAGTGGTATGTGGGACTCAGATCTTCTCATTGTTCTGTCAAAATGAATGACATGCATTTTCTGGATAGAATCCGGTGTGCTTTATGGGGGAAGTACAATATAAGGTTGCAGGGGAGCCAGAGCCTAACCCAGCATGCAATAGGTGCAAGGCAGGATACTCCCTGGATAAGACATGCACACACTCACATCCCAGAAGCCACTTAACCTACCAGTATGCTTTTGGAATGTGGGAGGAGACCAGAGCACCTAGGGTAAACCCAAGCAAACACAGGGAGGACTTACAAATTCCACACAGGAAGCACCCCAGGACTTGAACCCTGGACCCCAATGCTGCAAGGCTGCAATGCTAAGCACTGCGCCACCATGCTGCCCAACTTCAATCCACTATATTAACAATAACAATATTGTTATACGTACGCCTTTATGATTAATACTAGAAGCTCAAAATATTGGCCTACAACTAGATTGATTTCTCCCTCTTCAACAGAAAATCAACCACCACAAAATATATAAAAAATACTTGCTGTTGACAGTTAACCTAATTGCAAAGAATTGCCAAAAGCAATCTGCTCTCCTCTGTCATGTATGAACTATGTTTGACCCCCGTTTTGTGTAGGGAACACAATATAAAGTTGTGGTCATATACAGCAAACCTACTGCAGATTATGTGGTGAATTATTCAAGATTTTACTTTTCAGAATCTTTCTGCTTACTCTACATTTAAATGAGAATTTGCACTTGATAATTCTGGTTAAATAAAGAACTACAAAAATATCCTATTTAAGTGTTTACTGTTCATTATTATGCAAAAATGTATGACCTTGCAAAGGCTAAATAATACCTACAGTATATCTTTATCTTTGTCCCTGCTGTTTCAGCCACACTAAATAATGTCTACTGAAGAACAGTATTCATTGTGTATTAATACATTAGTCAATTATACCACTCAAAAGATAATCCCAAACCTGAAAAATGATTAGCAATATGATGTATCAAAAATATAAGATTAGAATATGGTTGCCTATTAGGTTCAACCACTGTCTCTCCTCTGACTTAATATTCTGTTTCCTTTCACAGTGATCTGCAGTTTCCGTGGATCAGTGTCACAGGGCCTGACTCTGGAGATTGGAGAGACTGTACAGATCCTAGAAAAGTGTGAAGGTAATGATAAACAATTTCTCAAAGAATCATTTCATATAGTACCTCATTATATCTTTTTGAAGGCAAATTGTGTTGTAGTACTGAATTTGTGCACCAGTGGCATACACCTACAGTAAATATATTGCATGCTGTGTTTTGGATAACTGCCATTATGCATAACAAGGTGGTAAAAGTGGGAAAGAAAAAAGAATCTCTAAATAAACAAAATAGATCATTTCTATGCACAGTTACTGTGGTTCACGACTTCCTGGGCATTCAGAGACAACTAAGAGAAAGGAAATAGAATATTCCCTGAGTGAATATAGTAGACACTGCATATATTTGAAAAATTCTCATAATAGATCCCATTCATTCAGTTATGGTATAGTACATAATGAATGTCCTCAGGAAGGAAAGATATCAGGGAATAAATACCCAGTGAATGATATGCGTTTAGTATTCACACTCTGCACTTAATGGCATTAACCTACAGTATAGTATGCAGCTTCAAGTATAAATGGTTACCCTCTCCTGTGACACTTTACAATATGTCATAGTGTCCCACAATGCAGATAACCCTGATAAAAAGTGATTTTATTACACATACTGTATATTGGTCTGAATGCTAGGGCATTGCCACAGAACTGCCTCTACAGAGATCCAGCTGTCAGTGTGGCTTTTCAGACCTGGGCGCCATTCAGTCTTCAGTGCCAGAAGCAGGCATGGACTCTTATTAAATTGTCTTCAAAGTTTGCTAATGTGCTTAACTGTCCACAGAGGGCTAGGAAGATACTGTCACTCACTGTTCATTCTGAGCTGAGTTTGCACACAGCTCTCTAGAGGGAAAAGTGAAAACAATTATGTTTTTATTCCATAACTGACTGGTGTTTGAAGACAAGAGAAAGAAAGCTCTATTATTACCACTGTTTTTGTCTGGAGCTGTGCTCTTTGTTTCTAAAAGATTCACATTTTTTAATTTAATCAGCATTTAGGGCCAGCCTCAGGAAAAATGGTGAACTGGGTTGTGTTGTGTCTTCAAGTGTTTGAAATATAATAAGACTACGTTATACAAGTTAAAAGTGTTTCAGCTTTTAAACATGTTTCTTAAACCTTGCTTGAGTTAGTTTTAAAGCCTATAGAGCCATATTTCTTAAACCTTGCTTCAGGTACCCCGTGTTGTCTGTTTATAATGTTGGCCCTTTATGCATTGACCTGGTGACTCTAGTGAAGCAGACAAGACTAAAATGGGCATCAGCTCACACTCTGAAAAAAGCCATAGTGCTAAGAATATGCAGTTATGTTCTGGTATACTTTAATGCATTTTCCTCCTGTAGTGACTGAGATAACTACTACAATGGACTATCTGAGAAAAAAAAATCATTCCATTGCCTGTGGCGGTGTGCAACCTGTTTAAACTTTGCTGTCTCCAAAAAATGTGTTGTTTTTAAATACAAATTCCCTTCTTATACAGTATAAGCTTAATTTGTTCATTGAAAAACTTGTATAAATAGAATTGAAATTCCATTACTTTCTGTGTTGTAATCTCTGATTGGCTCCAGAAGTAAAAAAATGTTCCCTCAAACACCAATAGTTCACCTTAATACAGCACAGAATGGTACTCAAGTATGAAAACAATAACATTCCTGCTTCATTATTGAAGTAACATGCCTAAAGCTACTGTATTAGCAAATGCATAAACAATAGGTAGGAAAAAAATAACACTCCTGCTTATTTACTTTACAGTACACTAGTTACATCATTACAGTTGTTAGCAAAAGCATAAACATTACTGTCCCGTAGTATATATACTTAACACACACAAGTCTTTATCATAAAAAATTCAAATGTAATAAAAAAAAGTTATTTTTCTTCTGAGAAGATGTGAGAAAACATTAATTTCAATGCTTTATGAGAGCCCAGATCATAAGAGTGAAAATATGCTTTTTAAAAGAAAAAAATATAAGAGTTAGTACATCACATTACTGTATTATACATACAGTCCCTGTAAAAAATAAATTAAAAATTGATATTTTAATACTGTTTAATTTTGCATTGGCTTTTGTATGATGTATTATATCTCATTGCTAAAAATGAAGTTTCTGTATTCTGTCAATTCTGACTTGTGAGAGAAGTACAGTAGGTTGTGTGAGGTCATGACACGTGGTGATTAGTATGTGTCGAAAAGTAACCTTTGGTTCGGTAAAAGAGTGAAGGGTAGAGAAACTGTCATCTCTGCTGCTTTTTTTGTGACAGCTCAAGAGCGCAGAGATCTTCACCTTTACTTCCCTTACCAGCTATTGTATCAGATCAAATTCCAAAAGAATATTCTGAAAAACACTAAACTCGATTTAGTGTTGAATTTTTAAAGAAGAAACAAAATTAATTTCTTGGTTTTATCTTCAAGTAAAGATTGTTGTAGTAACCTTGAGTAGTTGCTTTATTAACAGGTGATTTAGGGAAAAAGAAATAAAGGCAAGCATGTTTTATGACATACAGTATAGTTAAAAGTCTGTCACTGTGACATCTACACAAGGGGATGTTATGTTAAAGTAAACCAATGTTATTGTATATTTAGTGAAAAATTCAAATATGCGTTCACAAAAAATAATTGTACAATGCACTAGTAAGGCTTCCTTTGGAATATTTTATTCAATTTGATCACTACATTACAAGAAATATGTTTTTTCTCTAGAGAATAACAAGATACTGTACATTCCCAGATTTTAAAAAAGCAATAATCCTCATATATAGACTATATATAGTCTATATACTCTATATATATATAGACTACAAGAGGGCCTCATTCAAGTATTAAAAATTCCTAATGGCATTAAGAAAAGTCAGAATAAACAAGTGAAATACTGTAAGAACCAGAGAGTACAAATGAACATGAAGAGTAAGTGCATTCGAAAGCTGAATACAGGAGGTACTTTTTATAGAAAGGGTTAAGGAATTCAGGAAAAGGCTGCCCAATTGTGTTGTCAAAGCTGTACCTTTACCTTTTATTTTAATAGGTACCAGAAATAATTTAAAAAACTGTAGTTATTTTAGGCTGATATGATGACATGAACCAAAAAAGTTTGAGGATGACATCTCATCAAAATATGATTTAAAATAATATAATTTAAAATAATCTTGAAGTGGCAAAATTAAGACTGCATATTCTGCAAAACTGTACATGACAAAAGATGAGACTTGAGCTGTGCAAATTAAATTAAACGATTGCAAATGTAATCCATGGTTATCTCTAGAGATCAAGTTTCTGTAGGCATTGAAAGCATAAACATAAAACCAACAGATTTATAGAATTTCAACAAGGTGGCTCCAATAAGTATTTGTAGGGTAAGTGCATAGCTGCTTTAAAGAGGACTTAAATGTATGATTTAAACCATTAAATTTAGTAAGGTAATAATGTAAAGGAGAAATGGGAAATACTGAGTGACCTGTAAATTAAATTGGATTTAGAAGCGCTAGGTGGAGCTTATCATACAGTGTCTGAAAATTAAAAACACCCCTCTTCTTTAAAACCCCTCTTAAGGTTTTTCACGAATGAGTTTGAGGAGAGTCAGAAAACTGCAAAAGAAGCTGATAAGTTGTCAATAAATCACTTTTTTAAACTTCTCTAAATTCTACAACGAATCTCTACCCAATTTATAATAAAAAAACTATTTATAAAGCATCCTTGAAACCAACAATTTAATTGTGCTTAAATATAAAAAATACCTTGCCTGTACAGTACATAGCACTTTTCATCCAAAAGGATATTAAAACACTTTTTATATACTGTAGGAGGGGATCCACTTCATCTACTGTACAACTTAAGTGCTGAAGCACCCAAAGTTATGCAAAGCAGCCATTACTGTGTATGCTGATACGCCTGTTACACAACAGGTGGAGAAAAGAGAAATTGCTTCACTTGGTTGATTTAAGGGGGGACGCCAGATTGTGGAAGCACAGAGCAGAATTTGTCAGGATACAAGGGTTAACATGGAAATACTCTTTAGTAACCAAAATGATAAAACAAAAGGATGCTTAACCATCCCCAACATATTTACATAGGCACTATAAATCCAGATGTAGATTTAGCTCTTGTTCATACTGAATACCTGGGTGTCCAATACTATGCATTTGCCTTATTGAAATTCCCAGTAAAATTCTGAAGAGACCACTGGGCTCACAATAAAAAAAAGCTTTCTATATAGAGTAAATTAATGGATCAATTGTTCTGTATTGAACAGATTAGTACACTTCATCCACTTGGAGAGCTTTTTTTCTCCGGTCTAGATTTATGTTATACTAGGACACAAGCTGCAGTAATTTTTAGGTTCCATAAAAATAAAGTCACTTATTACAAGAGCAGTAAAACACACACAGATAAGGACCAGATATACTTTATAGTGCTATAATTACAGTTGGGCGAACTATCTGAATTTTGTATGGGTCATTCCTCTCCAGTTACAGTTCAAGAGCAATGCTGATGTTGTTAAGGTTATCATTTAATTAGGTTAAAAAGTAAAATGGCATTTGTTTTGGTTTATGGCAGTCATTTTCTAAAATCTTTCTAAACTTTTTAAAGCCCCTGCACTTGTGAGTGCTTATAAGAAGTTACTTGTTGCCCCAAAAGTTAATGACTTGAGCTTCTCCATTTTGTTTTTTTGTTTATTTAAATGAAAGCAATTTTTACATTTCCAGTGCCTCCGCTTTAAAAAAAAAAATCTCTCAGTTGCTTCTCTCATCATTATGTCTGGTGACAGATTCTGTGCCTGTTTGCTATAGTGGGCTCAGAGGAGCAGATGTGGAGAGTGGGTGTTTCAGGGAACGCATGCACTCCACATTGCCATTCTGTGCAGTGTGTGCCATGTGCAGCTGTGCTTTGAACAGAGAAGAAGAGCTCCCAGAATCTAGAGGCGCCTCCTGTTGTTTCACTTGGGCATGATTGAAGCACTCGGTCATCTGTGAGCTGAGATTGTACAGGTGTGATGAAAGCCGTGTAATTACAGTAGAACACTTTAACATTTTTT